CCTTTCCTGGATCGAAAATGTGAGGGGCATCTGGAGAAACGCAGACTTCAAGCAACAATCGTAGTACAAATAGTGCCAGTAATATTCGTCTTAATGGTCTTACTAGCTATAAACGCAACATTTCTAAAGATACTTGTCTTTTCGAGGTAGGGCTGCTCGGCAGTTTAGGCGCTCGGCCTTAGGCATGATGGTTGAATGGTTGAATGCATGGAGCAGGCTTCTTCTGAACTTCAGCCGTCGAACTCAGATACATGGTGAATGTGGTTGATGTTGCCGAACGTTGAAGGTGTCGGCCAAGTTGAAGTGAGAGTGACTGTGACGATGAGCATCAGGGTCAGTGCAGGCAAGTGTGAGCATATAGGTGCGGTGATGGTGGGGATTCTGGTCTGTTCAAACAGTCTGGGTGGTATGGTTCTAATACCTGCACGACGCACGACATTCAGACAAGATTGGAAATGTTAGTCTAGTAACCCTGAAAGCCCGTAGAGCACCCTTGTAGCACCCTTCACATTAAAGACCCTTAGTAACCCGATGCTAACGTTTATAGAACTCTCATACTCCTGACATTCGACAAGCTACATCCGAAGCTTCTGCAAGAGGCACTGCTACTATGCAATACCATGCTATACTGTACCATGCTATACCATGCGCTATACAATTCTACAAGCAAAGGCCAAAACCCTTCGACGCTTTGCCCGGCCTGAACCCTCATGCGCAACATCCTTCCTAGGGCGCCCAGTTTGAAGGTTAGGAGCCTCGGTAGGAGCTGTAATACTAGAAGCAGATACCCCAAACAATGACCCTGTAGGCAAAATCGACCATTGTCGGCATGATGTTTTAAAGTCCCAGCCCCGAAAATCGAACCTTGAGTCCTCCAATCCTGCAAAAAGCACATGCCCGGTTTAGGGTTGCCCAGCAGGTTACCACAATCAGTAGTCAAAGCCACCAAGAAAGGCTGATTATGAGGCTTACAACGTGCCCACCATCATGACACCATGCTTGTCACAGTGCCCCAGTTCTCTTGTGAGGAAAAGCCCCGCGATCGTGTCAACGGCTTACCGGTTTGGTCACTGCAAGTATTTGGCGCTCAAGACGTGTATGCATGTACAAATTAAATTAAAGGATATAGATGTACATAGTATGATTGTCATCTTCGGAAACCTTGTCGTGGTTTGTATGGTGGCCGTCTTGACTTAGCTTGATTTTCCAACTGCTCCGCAGGTCGTCATTTTGTGTTCAATTTGGCGTTGAGGGGTTCAAGGGGTTAGAGGTTTAGGGTTTAGCAAAAAACCCCAATACCCGCCTGATGAAGCAGCACACGCCGCAACCAGGCTCAATATCCACCAGCCCTAACCATATTTTTTGCTGTATTCCACACTGTGGGCACCGATTAAAACGGGAGTTTCACTGTGGGCCCAGTGGGCCCCTATTAAAACGGGAGTTGCAGTGAGCGACCCCCGCCCCCCACATAAGGTACCAAAATTTCTGGAAATCCCAACCCCTACACCCTAAACCGTAAAAACCAAAAACCCCAAAACCTTAAAGAATTCTACTGCACCTGCAATGGAAAAGAGTCCACACACAAACAAAAAAAAACAACACAACAAAAGACCTTAAACTAAACCCCAAGCCCTAGGCCTCAAACCGCAAAGGCCCTTAACAAAAAAAACCCTAAAACCCCTAAAAACCCTTAACACACCCTAACCCCGAAACCCCCGAAACCTCCGTGGGTTCTCCAGCTCCTTGATCTCGTTGCTTTAGGGCTCAAAGGTTTAGGGTTGGGGGTTTAGGGTTTGGGGCTTAGGGTTTAGGGTTTAGGTTTGTTTTAGGTTTAAGGCTTTCGGGTTTAGGGAGTAGGTTTTGGGGGAGGAGGAGGTGGGGATAAATTAGGGTTCAGGGGTTAGGGCTTGGGGATTAGCGTTTTGGGCTTACGAGTGTCTGGAATTTTCAGTGCTTCCCTGGGCCCCCACAACAGTCTATCGTTTTAAGGACTTATGCAGGGATATGACACGGTTAAAGTCTTTCGATTACATGCTACCTCCATGCTAAGCCCTTTGTAACCTTGAACCCTTTGGGGTTGTATAGATTATGCGGTACTTTTGACCAACGATGGGTTCAATTGCAAGTTTTGGGATGGCGGGCCCGCGATTCCTTAAGCCAAAACCTTAAACCCTCGCTAAACCCTAAACGTTCCCTGAGCCCTAAACCTTAAACCCTAAACTTAAGCCCTATGAGCCCTATACACCGTAAGTCCTTAAAGAGGGCATAAAGCCCGAACCACACCCGAGGGCCGCAAGCCGTTGGTGGTCGAGTACCCACAGATGATCTGGAAGGGGGACGACATCTGCGTGCTTGGGCAGAATCTAGGGTTTAGGGCTTTAGGCTTTAGGGAGAACTTCATGCGAGCGCTGAGCCTTCATGTAGATGCTACTTGCAGTAGCGTATAAGCCCTAAACCCTAAAAGTGCTTAGATCAGTCACCAGTGGTATTGGTCAACTGGGCTTCCAGAACTACCTTCGGGCGTGGCGACTTGGGGCTTAGGGTCCTTCTGGCTTTGACTCAGGCGTACTGCCTGCTAGGCTTTCAGCGGGCAAGTGACAGTGTCGACACAAAAAGAATACGCCATTCTTCAACATAGCTCTGAAATATCAACTTAATGTACAAAATTCTGGGCAAGTAAGTTAGAAAGCATCAATATCATAGTTCATCCTAATTCCTAACAGGCCCTCCCATGCTGGCCCCTTCAGGAAACCCTTCAAGGGGGACCCTAGTAAGGGACCTTTAAACCAACCCTTAAAGGGACCCCTTGAGGCCAATGCGACGCCTTAGGGCCTTTGGGTTTAGAGTTCGACTTCGGGTCCCTACACCCTACACCCTGCCAGGGGCCCGAAGCTAGACCCCAGTCCCTAAGCCCGAAAGCCTGAGCCCTAAACTCTCATGTCCTCAGCCCTCGAAACCCGGAATCCCATTAAAAGTCCCGACCGTGCACTCAAAAGTCCTGCGACCCGGAGAGCCTCAGGTGCTTCAGAAGCCTGCAGATTGGATCTGCTCGGTTGGGGTCCCCAGATGCCTCTGCATCTTAAGAGTTCTGAGTAAAAGGAGCGTCGTCCATTCCGCATGCGAGTCTCCGCCAAATGTAGGATTTCTATAGTAGGAATCTCTCTCTATTTAGTTTGGGTCAGTATTCACCATAAAGATATTTAGGACATCTTACGAAGCTTTGGGCAATAATTGATACTTAGCATATCTTAAGACCCTCCGGGAAAGTGTTTACCACAAAGATATTCAGGTCACCTTAAGACCCTTTGGGAAAGTATTCACCATTGAGATATTTAGGACATCTTTAGACCCATCGGGTAGGTATTCACCATAAAGATACATGGGACATCTTAAGACCCGGTAAGTATTCATCATAAAAGATATTCAGGTCATCTTAAGACCCTTCGGGAAACTATTCACCATAAAGATGTTCAGGACGTCTTAAGACCCTTTGGGTAAGTGTAGGCTTTGTGGTGTCTGGGCTTGCTATGATCTCTGGGAGCAGAAGGCTCAGTCGAAGAAGCATGTTCTTAGGGTTTAGGGTTTTAGGGCTTTAGGGTTTTAGGGTCTAGGGTTTCAGGGTTTTAGGGTTTATAGGGTTTAGGGTTTTAGGGTTTTAGGGTTTAGGGTTGAGGGGTTTGGTGGTGTTTTTGTGAAGGATCTTGGTTCCAATTTAATCAGGAAAAGTCTCACATTGAGAGGGCGTGGACTCGGCGTGGAAGCCTTATGCCTGCCCGTAAGGGTCCACGTGCTCATTATTTAAGGACTTTGGGGCCTTTATCGGTACCAAAAGCCCTAAATAAGGACTACTGGGACCCTTGGGGTGCCTGAGGCCAGTGACGTCGACAAGAAGAAGGGGCGGAAGCTGGACCCGAACGAAGACTTGCGCAACAAGGGCTTCAAGGCAGAGCAGGGCTCCTTATTGTGTTAGGGTTAGGTCTCTAAGGACTCATATTTTAAGGCATTCGGGCCCAAAGACCGTGCTACGTAAGGCTTTTGGGCTATGTTGAGCCTTAGGCTTGGCATTCGGGGTCAGAGGGCGGAGCTGGAGAGAGTTTTGGGTCGTTTCTTACAGTCAGGGGTTCCCTGTTCAAGGACCCTTATTACCAAGAGGGTCCTTATGTACTACCATCAAGGAATTGGGTCCCCAGAAGGATGGCCTTTTGGGGCCTAATTACATAATAGTACTAACTATGGACCTTCTTGGCTATTTTGACGATGCTGAAAACCTGCAGATGCGGTCTGTTAGGGTCCCTGCGTGTGTGTGGGTGTAGGCTTACCGTAGGGTGCAGGGTTTAGGGGTTTCGGCTTTGGGTCTAGAGGCGTTTTGCGTTTGCCGTTGGGCGTTTCGTTGCCCGAACATGCAAACGGACGAACTCAACGACGACAGCCTACTTTACAGCTGGGCTAACTGGGCTCTTAGAGCTGTAATTAAAACACGCCCTTTTCTAGGCCTTCTAGAGCTGGAGCCCTAGAAAGGACTGCAATACCTCGTGAAGCCTCAAGCCTAAAAACCTAAACTCTAAATAACCCTGAAACCCTAACTAAACCCTAAGCCCCAAGCCCTTAATAAACCCTAAATCCCAAATAACCCCTAACACCTAAATAAGCCCCAAATCCTCAAGAAACCCTACATAAACCCTAACTAAACCCTAAACCCGAAGCCCCCTGGATGCACAGCAGCCTTGGCCGGTCCTTAGACCAGGTGTTTACGTTCAATAGAAAGTACCTTGGGAGGTCGTGGCACACCTTGAAGCTTCAACTGGCAGTTATTGAACATATGGCTTATTTGTTGCGTAGTAGGTATGCGTATATACACTGCTTTCTATCTAAGCATACGGTTAACAGGAAAAGGATTTCTTCAGGGCAAGAACAGCCCAGAAAGAACTCGGGTTATGAGCAACCTGAGTTATACAGAAACCCCAAATCTTAAGCCTTGTTCCCCCGTCCCCAAACGTGAGGTCATGAAAGACCTGCTCGACTTCAAGTTTGCCGAGCGTGAGAAGAAGTGCTCTTCCCGCTTCACTCGCTTCTCCACGCCTTGCCTTAACTTACTTTAACCTATAAGTATCCTTCCTTTACAGGGTTCTCGTCCTCGTATGCTTCCTTGCCGACATCCCTTAAATGTGATGGTTTTGCAGGTCGAGGTAAACGCTGGAGACGGGGTTTTGGAGGTCTGTTTGGGCTTCGCAGCTAGGTAGGACACTCCATGATGTCGCCTTGAAGGTTCGAGTTCGAGTTCCTTTTCGGGTGTCGGGTTTAGGGTTCTGGGATTTAGGGTTTAGGGTTTAGGGGTTTAGGGTTTAGGGTTGAGGGGTTTAGGGTTTAGGGTGTAACCTTAAACCAATGTGCGACAGGTACATCCACTGGTGGATCCAGCTCATGCACGAAGCAGACCGAGAGCAGTTCCCCAACCTCTTCGATGTGGTCGGCATCGGCTCGCTTGCACCTAAAGTAGAAGATGGTTCCTTATTGTAATTGAAAGGAGCCCGGAACCTTATTCATTCTATTAGTAAAGCCCCTACATTACACACCGCTCGCTCCTACAGCCCAAGCCAAGGCACTACATCCGAAGCCTAACGGCCCTATAAGCCCTCAACCCTAAAGCGCTAAGCCGTAAAAGAACCCCAATCCTAAGCCAACGCCGCATATCCTAAACCCAGGCCAACACGCTGTTTGCGTAAACCTCGCGGCTGCTTTTCGGAATTTTTTTTCTTCCAAAAAGGGGTCCTGATTTGCATTTGGGGTTTAAGGCTTGGGCATTATTATAGGGTTCAGGGTGTAGGGTTTAGTATCCCTATCTAAACCTCAGGCAGTATCTGCAGCATGTCCTTGTTTCCTCCACCCTAAGCACCATGGACACACCTTGGGGTCTATGTGTTCATATGTCATGTACTTCGGCCTTAAAATCGCTCCCACATAATAGGTACTTCGGAGACAAAGTATATACTATGTACGTACATGGGCACTTAGGGTTTGGGACATCTTACCAAACTACACACAACTAGCCTCGCACCTCGCCGTTCCGCGTTCGAATTGCGCAGGAAGCCCAAGACAGCGACATGGATGAGTACTCCCTATGTGCTGGCTGTAAACTCTAAGGTCAACACCCAATACCACAAAACACCCAAGCCCAAAAGCCCAAAGCCCTAAAGATCCATGTTGCAGCCCTTTTTAAGGGGCCATTCTGCGCCCCACGTCATGGATGTCCTTGGTTGCAGCATTTGGTAACTTAGATACCCTACTGGGGCCATTAAGAGCCATGGTTGAGGGCTTTGGGTGTCTTTGGAGGGTTTAGGGTATATAAGGGTTTGGCTCTCAATCTCTCTGTCTCTTTATGTTATTTGTATATACATGTATATGTATATGAGCACTACAAGGACATGCAAATCAGTAGATACTGATATGGCCGTTTGAAGTTTGCACAAGTTAAGCACCATTTCTACATAGCATATGCAGGAGCACTGTTATGATGTACTATGCCCACACAGGCCGCTCCAATTCTTCGGGCCCTTGAAGCTATATACTTCCTGCCCATAGGTCCTCACGGCCCGTGCCACTCCAAACCCTAAACTCCCAAAGCCCTCAACCATAAACCCTAGGCCCTAGACCCTAAAGCCCTAAGACCTAAACCCTAAACTCCCCAAGCCCTCGACCCTATGCCCTAAACCCTGATGGCCCGTGCCAGGACCAGAACTATGGCCTCTGCCACCGACTGGATCGAGAAACCAGCGGTGCCTTTCACAGGGTTCCGGGACTTGTAGGGTTTAGGGCTTCTTTAGTGTAGGGTTTAAATTTAGGGTTTACAGTTGAGGGTTTGAGGGCTTAGGATCCAAAGACCTATTGAATGTGTCGTAACCTACAAGTTTGTAGGGTTTCGGGATACAGGTAGTATATTTATGTTAGTCACCCATCACCTACTTGCAAAATTCATAAAGAACCCTGCGAACAAAGGCTGTCTGTGTTACATGGGATTCTGGCAGGATGAACGGCGCTTACCATGTCTAGTTCAGGGTTTCGTGAACCTAAACCCTAAACCCCAACTCCTCCCTAAATCCTAGACCCCAAAACCTACCTAAAACCCTAAACCATAAACCCCAAATCCTCCCTAAATCCTAAACCCTAAACCTACCTCAACCCTAAAACCCTAAAACACCCAAAACACCTGCAGATTTTGCTTCGGCCCTGAAGGCTTCAGCCAGCTCTGGGTTCGAAGAGCCTCCTTTGTGTATGATTTAAGGTTTCGGGCTCATTGGGTTTAGGGTTTAGGGTTGATGATTTCGGGTTCAGGGTTTATGATTTAGGGTTTCGGGCTCATTGGGTTTTGGGTTTAGGGTTGATGATTTCGGGTTCAGGGTTTATGATTTAGGGTTTCGGGCTCATTGGGTTTTGGGTTTGTGGTTCAGGGCACTTAAGGTTTAGGGTTTAGGGTTTAGGGAGGTTTTGGGGTTTTGGGTTTATGACTTAGGGTTTCGAGCTCATTGTTTTGGGGTTTGGGCTTTAGGGCGGTCAGGGTGTAGGGGTTCAGGGATTTTGGTTGTCAGGTCTGACGAAGATAGTGCAAAACCCTGAGCTGACCTGAACTGTAGATGTTGCCCTAAGGGTGTAGTGTTTAGGTTTTAGTAATAATCATATACTGTACCAAATATTAACCTAGATAACTTCTAGCCGCAGCCACAGTACCTTATCATTGGGTCCTTTGGACCTCTAGGGTTGTGTCGGAGGCTTTGTGATCGGTAACCCTGAACGGAAGGCTGCTGCAGAACGATCCGCATCAATACCTCAGGGTCCATGTTCTCATGTCTCCCTAAACCCTATAAACCCTACTTTAGGCCCAAGTTTATACTATATGGATGGGTACATGTACCCTAGAATGCAATCCTATTGAAGGGTGTTGCCAACCAAAATAGGACCCAAAACACAAGCCGTAAGCACATAAAAAAGAGCTTGTAGTACCATTCGACTCACCTCCATGCCTCACTGAGAGACCCAAACCCTATACCCCACTCCTGACAGGCACGGTGCTCGTCGGCGTGACGAAGAAGTCACGCACGCAGATGCGTGAGTGCTTCCATCGCCACTACGTGCGGAAGCTGTGCGCCTGGACAGTTCCGGAAACCTCTTGGGTCCTTATAATCTTAGTAGCTGAAATACTACACTTTAAATTTTTTGGGATAGTATGATCCCTTATAGAACTGAAAGTGTACACCTTTGTTCTGCTTATGAGCTCAGCAACTAAGTAATACAAGATTGATGTGCTCGCTTGGGACTCCAGGAAGGGACTTGGAGCTAGCGCTGCATACACTACGCAGCCACTTCAGATTCACCCCTGTGCATTCCAGTCCAAAGCCAAAACTCTACACTACAATCCCTAGGCCCCTAAGTAGTTCCTTCTTGGGATTACCTTATAGGATTCGAAATATGAACCCCAAAATGGAACTACTTAGGGGCCTATGGGTACGATCCCCAAACCCTGTACCCGTACAGAAAAACCAGTAGAGACGGATTTTGCAGCGACAGAGCCCGATCGAAGGGTTCATCAAAGGACTTGATGGCTCGGGTTCGTGGCCCGACTTTGTTCCCTGGCAGCCGGCTTTCGAAGGCTTGGGGTGTCCTGTCACTGCTGTTGGCTTCGATCGCAGGTTGCTACCCGGCTTTTTCTGCCAGGCAGGAGCCCTTGAGCTGGGTTCGGCAGCGTGCTGGTCAAGGTCTTCACACCAGTGCTAGCAATCACACCGGGGAGTTGTCACGACAGGAGAAGATGCTGCTGTCAAGAATTTCGATCGCAGGCGAGCGAGGGGATTGGATGCAGGTCCAGAGAGAGTTTGGTACTTATGCTGGTCAGGCTACACCTATCTTCAATGCTGTAATGCATCTTGCCTGCCAGCTCGGACATCCTACTGCTGGCGCAACTGTGTACCAACGGCTTTGTGATTCCAGAATAAGCAAGACCGAACCTACATACTCAGCTGCGCTGAAAATTTATTCGAAGCTTGGCCAGACGTCGGCCGTTCGTGAGATTTGGACAGAGGCGTTGGAATCTTTTCCTTTGAATGAGGTGCTGGCAGCTGCGCGCATCGATGCAGCCGCAGCGGAAGGTGATGTTCAAGCTGCAGCACAAATTTTGGATGACATGGACAAGGAGGGTGTCAAGATCAATATTGCACACATCAACTCTGCCATTCGCACCTGCTGGAATGCCAAGGGCGCGTCGCACTCAGCTGCCAAGTACCTCTTTGATTTGATCCCAGGCCTCGGTTTGACACCTGATATTGTGACCTTCACATGTTTGATTGGTGCTTATACATCGGCAGACATTTCCGACATTCAAGCTGTATATGCCAAGATGAAAGACGTGGGAGTCGAGGTTGACAAGGCTTTTGCCGAAGTTTACTTGGTTACTGTCTTGCGAAAGCCAGCCAGCAATGAGATTGGTCCAGCCGGGTTGAGCAAGCTTCCAAACGATCGTATACGAGCGGCGAAGGCCGCGCTGAAGGACTTCAATGCAGATGGCCTCGAGCTCACGCGCTTAAGTTGCGCCATTGAGCGCGCTTTACACAAAGTGGAGGTGTGATCCTGGTCTGCTGGCCAGGTGACACGTGAATAGTGCCGAGAGAAATGGGGGTTTCCGAAAATAGGGAACCCTAATATAGTACCCTAAATAGTAGGATCCTTATTATTCGGACCCCAAAATAAGGTACCCTAATTGTCGGAAACTCCCAAATGTGGCATGTGGACTCATGAGCATGTGTTCACTCGCTGCACGAGATTGGGAAGACTTCTCAATGCATGCTCCATCAGTACATGCGCATTCGTCTTGCCGATGCCAACCCCAGTTTTTGGATTTCCGAGGCTGGAATTTTGAGTGCGGCCGTGGGATTTTATTATTCATGTTGTCACCGTAAACGGTCAATCCTCACCCGGAAATCAGTGTCTTGCGGGCTTTTTATGCTGATGTTTAGTAGTGGGATCCTACAAAAACGCTCGGCTGCACCCTGCGCACCTCGTGGGATGGTGGTGAACTTCTCATGATGTCGGGCTTCGGTTGCTGGGTGCTGGGGTTCGGGGTTTACGCAGGTTTTGGGGTTCAGTTAGGGTTTTTCCCAGCAAGCCCTTTAAACACCCGAAAACCTACACCGCCGGCTGCATCAGGTACGTGTGTTTGGTCCATGGTCCGGGGGCCCAGTTCGAGGTAATCGGAGCCCAAATCCAAGACTCTTTTGGCGGATCTAGCCCCCCGGAACCGTAACACGGTGCGGGGGGTCGGAATAACTGGAATTCCTCAGGCCTCCTTCTCATAAGTATGCTATAACCTAACCCTAAGCCCCACTCTTCTCGCTAAGAAACTGTTGAAAGGCGGGCTGTTGGGCTGCGTGGACAGTGTTGGGTTAAGCGAACTTGACCAAACTGAAAGAGTGAGCTTTGAAGATGAAGGTGTCGACGAAGTGGTGTAGGCCTGCACACGGTATAGGCTTTACGCGGAACCCCGAAAAACCTACCTGCTCCTTTGAGGAAACTCTGAGAATGAACCCCAAAAAGGCAGGTTATCTAGGGTCCTAAACCCTAAACCCTAATCCATAAGCCCAATTTTCTGGGCCTAAACCCTAATCCATAAGCCCAATTTTCTGGGCCTAAACCCTAATCCATAAGCCCAATTTTCTGGGGTCCAGGTGGGGTTTGAAGGCTTCAGAACAAGTGGCAAAACCCGAAGGTCCAAGAGCCAGGGAGCCACCCTTCAGTCAACCGAATTCACTGAGCCTATGATCAGGGTACTGGGGTTTAGGGTTTATAGGGTTTAGGGTTCATAGGGCTTATATAGGGTTTAGGGCTTAGGGTTTAGGGCCCCTAAAGTTACATGAGTTACTTACTACTATGTCGCAGCCTCTGTTCTGCGGCACATGGACCCTGTACAACTCCACTAACTTACCCTAAGGGTCCACGTATTCGTGTAATATATGTGTGTACCCTGGCCTGAAAGTAGTCCCTACCTATAGGTACCCGAAATCTTGAACATCATACCAAGCCCAAGGCCAAGCATGATACCTTAGACCCAAAGCCGCAGCAACTCTAGTCTTGACAACCCCAACACCCCACAGGACCCTAGCGATCCCTATGAACACCTTCTCCTTCTATAGAACTACTTGTGACAACCCCCCCCTAAAGCGCCATCTTGGGGCAGGTCCGAAATCCTAAGCCGTACACCCTCCACAGTAAACTCAGGCGTTGGGTGTAGAGTGGAGGGGATTAGGTTACAGGGTTCACGTGCAGTAAACTCCTACGTGCAAGCCCGAGCTCTCAGGCTACATCGACAAGGTGGAGCAAACCGTCGACCGTAATCTCGAGGCTGCCCAAAGACTCTCCCGGTGGGAGTTTCAGCCTAAGGGCGCAAAAGTTTAGTTTTTTGGATCCATGTGGCTTCATAGGGACTTGGTACGGGGATTCCTGCACCTGTTACTGGGGTTTGTTTAGTGTACGTATACAACCTATTTCAGGGTTGTGCTTGATCCACATACCTCTGTAGCCTATAGTCTACAGTGTGCACGTAGGCTAAGACGTGGCAGGAGTTCCGAAGATATCTACTCCAGGCTAAGGCTTGCACGATCTGGGTACCTGGTAGAGAGAGTGTTCTTCAACTGCATGTTTGGATTATGTTGAGAAAGATCTTAGACAAAGATCTGCTGGTGTGGAGCCCCATGTGTCGGCATGTTGTGGTGATTCTCCTGAGCTCAGCAGTCCTCAATGCTCGCGCGAGCTGCCAACACCACAGCAGACCCTAAACCCGAAACCCTTACACCCTCAAACCCTCAAATGCTAAACCCTTAGACCCTAATCGCTGAAGCCCGAAGCCCCTAAACCCCTCAACCCCTAATCCCCAAACCCATAAAGGACGAGCTGGGACATGGTAAACCCTGGTGACCTCTGCCATTGCAGAGGTCCTCGCAGTTTTTCGTGTTTAGGTTCAGTAGTAGGGTGAGACGGTGTGCGATCCAGCCCATTAGTGCCACGGAATTGCGGCACAGGTTGTAAGTAGGGATATGACTGTTGTTGCGCAATACTCCGAACTCTCGATGCCTGTCGGAAGTCTTGTTTGTGAAAGCATGAGGGTAGTTCTCTAAACTAGGGCCCGTTTTAGGTCCCCCAAATAGTACGGCACGGCACCCATATACAAAAAGGACCCCCAAAGGGACTACCCGACCCATGTAGATCCCACAGACCCTTAAAGAAGCCCTTATAGATCCCTCTACGGAGCCCCCAAAAAGGGGCCCTGATGTAGAGAACTACCCATGTTGCATAATTTCTTGCACACTCCTGCTCCGACAACTGCCAGACAAACAACTTACATTGAGGGGCTGAGTAGGTAAACCTCAGCCTTATGGGTGTAGACACAACTTTGCTATCGGTCTATATGTCTGTCTGTCTGTCTGTCAGTCTGTCTGTCTGCCTGTCTGTCTGTCTGTCTACCTGTCTGTCTACCTGTCTGTCTATCTATCTGTCGATCTACTGTCTATCCATTCATCTATCTACAGATCTGTCGCTCCAGTCGATCTATCCATCTATACACCTTTCTGTGTGAGCGGATGAAAACCGTTATGGGCCAGAGTACCCAGCCCCTAAACTGAAGGCAATGGGCCAAAAAGCGAAGCTGGACCGCCGGGGCAAGCGCGCCCGCACGCACGTCAAGGCGTGTGGAGCTAGGTTTCTTCGTATTTAGGGTTTCGCTGAAAACCTGAATCTAGGTTTAAAGGTTAAGGGTTTAGGGCTAGCGTTTTGCTTATATTTATTACACGTACTGAGTGAAGTCATCCATTCGTCAAGTCGCTTCGTTTACTGGGGCCCGGGATGTCGAGGGATTTTGGATCAGTCAAGCGGGAGTCGAGAGCGGTCTTTGCATTCGGAGTCTGGGGCAAAGGAATCGCAGGTTTCGTTTTTGACTCCCAGGGACTCCATGTACTTCTATAATTCTATAACTTATATGTTGCTTAGGCAAAAAGCCCTAAACCCTGAACCGTTAGGCAAGGTATCTGAATCGGAACCCCATTAAAATTAAGGCCCAAGTATAAGCCCTAAACCCCTAAACCTCATTAAAATTAAGGCCCCAGTATAGTCCGAATTTAGGTACTTTCGGGCCAAAGTAGATACTGTTTAGGTGCATGGACCCTTAGGGTCATATTATGATTTAGGGTGTACGATGCCTTGATTCTTGGGCTGAGATTTTTGTTTTAACAATGGCAGAGACATTCATGATTGGTTTAGGGTTTACAGAAGGCGTGTGGGGTTTAGGGCCGTTTAGGGTTTAGGGGTTTAGGGCTTAGGGATTTTCATTTTGTGTTGCGGAGTTCAGGGTTGATACGGTTTAGGAGCCCGAATACACAGCGGCCCATGTGTTCTGCAGGATTCCGGTTCTGTTTGCGGAACCTGTACAGCGCGGATTAGGGTTCAGGGTTGAGGGAGTCGGGATGAGTACTGAAAGGTGGCACTGTGCTAGAAGGGTTTAGGGTTTAGGGCTTAGGTATCATGTTGCCTCTTCTGGGTTTCTCACCTCCCTCTTGCGTCAACCAATAGGGGTGTACATTCAGATTGGTCCACCAAGACCTTCAGACCCTACATGCCCCTACGCAGCACCCTCGACTTCCTGGGGTCTTTGGTGAGAGTTTAATTTAAGTTACCATGGTAGGGATCCGGAGCGAACAATGCCAGTATCTCATGCCGGTACTAGTAGTTGAAACTAAACTCTAAAAGCGGCTTTTTTTCTCGAATAAGCATCCAGCTACCAGGTCTTGGGCTACTTCACCAAGACTCACAAATCCGGGCCCGCCGGTCGCACTTGTTAGCCGTTATAGAAATTCCCTGAATTCTTCGGGTGTTCTTATTTGAATGCTCACTTGTATAAATGCGTGGAATCTTGAATTCTGAATAATTTACCAATACAGTTTCTTAGGGTTCCGGGCATGTTGAAACCATAGAATCGCCGACATTGCTTGCTGAGTGCCCCAAGCCTTGAAGTGCACCTTACAATCGAAGTCGCAGGACCAAATCATAATTTCATATAATGTCACAATGTCCCTTTATCGTTTGTCCCTTTATCGCCCCTGATATTAATATACTACGTCTGTGCCCCAAACCGTAGTAGTTTACTTCCTTGCACAAGCCTCAAAACCAACCTTAGTCTTCATTGGGTTTGGCTGTGAAGCCCGGGCAGCCAACCCAGCTGGTCCAGATCTCCCACACGCCTTTTTTGAGCTTCTCCGGTGAGTTCCCTTAATAAAGGGGCCTTAATAACTGTACCTATACTAATGATGAATTACCAACACGAGTTTGGGGGTTCCTTACTTCTTTATAGTATAATATACCCCAAAACACCTTGTTCTAGTTCTTACGGCCCCTGCATTAAACGGAAGCCTCTTCCAAAAGAATACCTGAACCCTAAACCCTAAACCCTAAACCCCTCACCCCTAAACCCTAAACCCCTAAACCCCTAAACCCTGAATTCGGTTGAGCTCAAGGGAAAGGAGACGTGAGTTCTGGTGGTCCCGGTTTCAATTAGGGGTTTGGGGCTTGGGGTTTAGGGTTTAG